CAAACGGAACCTTTTCCAGGAAGGCTGAACAAAATAGAGGAAAAGCGTATTAAGTTTCAGATTTCTCAGGAAAATCATAGCTGTAAGACGGACTATACTGTTACACAAGAGGGTAACCCACACTGCAGGCAGCACTCAACTTTTTGGAACTGTTCGAAAGTCAATTTCCTGACTGACTGGACTTTTTTTGAAGAAAAAATTACTTTCCCCAACATTATGGCATAAATCTTCACTTCCGTCATTTTGAATACATATGGACACTTATCTCTCAACATGCCCAACTCTCAGAAAATAACTCCCGGGAAGTTGGCTGTTTATCCCTTCTACCGTGCCACCACCACCTACTCGTGTAACAAAGCCAAAAACTTCAAGTCGCTGGTCGCCCTGTTTTCCAAATTTCAAACCACGTAGTTGACAAAGTTCGGGCTGTCTAATAACAGTCTATGTGACGACAAGAAGCGGTACACTAAGACCAGGGATATTTTCAACAACAATATCCCTGAACAGATCTTTCTCCGAATTCTGGTTACGCCAGCCGAAATTCTTACTCCTCGTTACAGATTCAATCGGAGAGTATTGGCTTTTTTACATCAGAAAAAGCCAAGAGAAACACCGGCTCTACCAGTTTCCAAACGAGTGAATCCCATACTCAGTGGCCGAGATGTTCCGAACTTTTCGGGAATAGCTGTATGAATTCATTTTTTGCTTCGAGACCAAGTTCGTGGAGAACGTCACAGACAAATTAATGCCTAGGTACTCAGACACTTGATTCCGACTTGTCCTTACGACAGTATGTACGACATCAACAGGACTTCTTTTGATTACTACGTAAATCGTTACGATGGTAATAATCAGCTGCTTATGGAGGTGTAGATAATGGGTGCTCTTTAGGACAGCTGCTCGCTAGAGTAATTGTAAAAACCTCCTACTCAATCACTATAGACAATAGAAGTCCGATTAGGGGACGGTAGTAATTTCCCTTCGTTTGTTACGTGAAAAAGCGAAGTTTTTTCTTGTGAAGATTAGGCCGTAGGAGCGCATTCTTCTCGGACCTTTACTAAGAATTCACTAATAAAATGTCCAGACAGCCATCGCTTTCACCTCTCTCTCTAGTGATGCTTTTCCAACAATGTGCCACATTACTTCGTCTCCTAAATATTGCTTATCTAGCGTTAGACAGCCATCGCTTGCATCTCCCTTGAGTAATGCTTCTCCAACTATGGGTCACACTTCTTCTCCTAAATATTACTTATCTAGCGTTAGACAGCGGCTGAAAGGTCTGTTAGGGCATACCTGGGCCCAGATGGAACTTTGGGTAGAATCCCACTGTAATCAGCTGAGCCCTTTCCAGGTTGAGGTTGCATGGCGTTGTCTATTCCAGTCTTGTTTGTTTATGCACAAATTGCCTTTTGCCTGATATCATTTTACACCAGATGAAAAACCAGAGTTCTAATGGGCCACGATTTGTTCCTCCCACGCTCGGTCTTCTTGAAACCGTGGGCAAATCCTTGGTTGGACGGCGTTAGGAACAAATCGTCTTCTCGTCCATTCGTTGTCTCATGGAATTGTTAATCTTCGTTGACAAGCGGATGCGAGATTTGATCCATCGTTCGTATATACGGTAACAGCGCTTTTTGGCACTTTCCTATCTTCTAAATCTCTGTCATATAATAGTAGTAACGAGTTCTGCTGGTATTAAGTAATTTTTTCAAGTATCTTTTTCAAGAGTCAGAATATGATGGGAGACTTCTCTCGATCGTTCTTGCATGTGAGCTACTATCTAGCACTTCTTCTTCTACACCTCCACTCCTTCGGAAGTTTCTATTTCGATGTCATTTTTCGGTTGGCATAGAAGCTCACAGCAAAAGACTAGGCGCTTAAATAGACATTATTTTTGATTGATTGTACTTTCTTGTGAGCTGTGGCAGTCGTTACTGCCATCGAACGGCAGTAGGACATCTAATTTCCTGTCTTGTCCTTGCTCTTTTCCTCGTCTCCTCCTTCCTCTTAATTAATTTATATTACCAGCATTGAGTGGGAGTAGATTTGAATGCTAGACCATGATGTTCTTACTAAGCCGGCGAGCTCATTAGTCATTCCGCTTCATTCATGGGCAGGAAACCATGATGATCACTAACATTATCTTTGCTCAGATTCAACCTCAGGGAGCCAAGCAAGGAGCCATTTCTCATATA